GCGACGGCAGGGCCCGGCCCACCTCCCTGTCACATCCCTCTCTGTGTGAGTCCCAAAATGTGCCTGCTGGGCACACAGGCTGGGCCGGGCCCGGAGGGTACGACCGTCTCTACAGCCCACACCCCCAGAGCCCTCCCCAGTGCAGCCTCCTGGGGCACCACGTGCCCAGTCTCGCCCCGGGGAGGGGTGCAGTCCTGTGCGCACCGACCAGGACCCTGCCACACATGGCACATGGGCGGGGATGGCCCGAGTGCTCCCTGAGCTGGGGAAGGCAGACCTGCCCAGCAAGGCTGGTGTCACTTCAAATCCAGGACACGCCAGCCGGTCTTGTCATGAACTCCACCAGAACGGCGCAAGGACGGCCCGCGATGGGCGATGGCTTCGGTGACAGGCTGCAAACCTGGCAGCCCTCCTCGGACAGGCTCGCAACACCTGGCACTGTGACAGCCCAGCCGAAACACCCAGGCTGGGCACCACCCCCCCTGCGGCCACCTGCCCCGCAAAACGCAAGGGGCATCCACGTTGTCTGTGCCTCACCTGCTGCCCCTTGAGGGGAAGCTGAGGTGATGCTCAGAGGAGGCAAGCCCAGGAGCCGGCAGGTGCACAGTTGAGGCACTGGGCTCCCACATGGCTGAGCGCGGTTCAGATCCCAGACCTGGCAGCTTGCTCTCCCTCCCTCTATGTCTCTCCTTCTCTGTCTCCCTGTCTCGAGTGCATGTGCCCTCCATCAGCAAGTTTAAAGTAATAATAATAAAACTAAACACATAACTACTGAAACAAAGAAGGCCAAGCCAGGTCTGTACACCTCCATCAGCCACCTGACAAGGCCGTCAGGGCTGGGATGCTGGTGGCCTCAAGAGCTGCAGGGGTCTCGCGGCCACCGAGCTATGGCACTCCCGAAGCCCTTCCTGAGAATGAGAAGCGACGGCAGAACCTTGCGCTGGGCTCACGCCCGAAGGTCTTGATCCAAACAAGCCACATTTATACCCTTAAAGAAAGTTTCCCTCTCAGAATAAACTGTGCTGGGCCGGCAGGTGGCGTGGTGGCTCAAGAGTGCTGGACTCCCACACGGCCGACCGCGGTCTGGGTCTCGGACCTGGCGGCTGGCTTTCGCACTTCCCCTCTCTCGCTCTCTTGCTGTCACTCTCTGGTCAAATTGAAATAAATACATAAATGGATAAAGTTAAACAAAATAATTCTTAAAAAAAGCAATTTCTTTTAAAAAATTAATGAATAAAGAATAAATTGTGCTGGATCAAACTACAAAACCAAATCCCAGCTGCGGGTGCCACACCCGGCACCCCAAGCTCTCAGTGCACTAAGAGAAGGCCTCAGATGCCCTATCACCGAGACCACGTTCTGAGTCTGCTGACCACTGGTGGCCACGCACACGAGCTCAGGAGGGCAGCTCAAGTGGAGGCAGCACCAGTGGGCAGCCACATGGCCACCTGCACCAAGGAGCAGCGAAAGGGAGTGGGGCAACCTACCAAGGGCACGCTGGACTCTGGACCCCAAAACATGGTCAACAGCCCTACTGCCACCTCCGTAGGTCCAACCTCCTCCTGGAGAATTCCACGTCAGCAAAGGCCAGGCTACAGAGCCAGGGCTGTCACGTCCCCGGCCTGGGTGGCCTACAGCACGGTGGGTGTGTGCCAGAGTCCCGGCAGGCTGGAGGACTGGACAGGGGACAACTGAGCCCATGGGGGCATGGCCCATCTCTCCTTCTCTCTTACACACACACACTCACACACTCTCTCCTTACCATAAAGTATCCACATCCACGTACACTTAACTTACACAAGAATAGATACACACGTAATATTTAAAGCAAAGGGCCAGCAGGTGGCATGGTGGTTGAGGCACTGAACTCCCACATGGCCACCCACGGTCTGAGTCCTGTACCTGGCAGCTAGAAAATCAAGCTAGACGTATGTGCACGCATTCCCGGAATCCCAGGAGGAGAATGGAAGAGAAGGGACTGGGACCAGCAGTTAGCATAATGGCTATGTTGCTGGACTCCCACGTAGTTGAAAGCAGTTCGAGTCCCGGACCCGGAGGCTTAATCTCACGCCAAGCATGTATGCGTGTGTGCCCAGGATCCCAAGAGGAGAATGGAGGAGAAGGGATTGCGGCATGGCCACCTCCCCCCGCCAAGGGATGATTTCTCGCTTTCTGTGTGTCTGTTTCTCTTTCTGGTGAGTGCACATGCCCTATAGCAAACACCTCTCCAAAAAAAAAAGAGAAGAGACTGTAGTGAGGCTATTCCCCAGGGCATGCTTTCTCACTTCCCTCTGTCTGTCTCTCTGTCTAAGCAAGTACATGAGCCCTATGACAAAAACTGAAGACAGATGTATATGCACCTACACGTACACACCTGTATGTATGTGTGTGCATGTATACTGTGTAAACGTGCGTACGTGTGTATATACACACACGTACACATGTAGGTTTAGAGACTTTAAAAATTCTACAAGGCCAACTCCAGCTGTCCATGCCATATGTGTATATATACATGTATGTGTGCATATATCTGTATGTGTGTGCATATATAAGCATACGTATGTACATACATAAACACATAGGTTTAGAGACATTAACCATTCTACAAGGACAACCCCAGCCTGTCCATGCCATACGTGTGTATATACATGTATGTGTGCGCATATCTGTACGTGTGTATATATTAGCATACGTATGTACATACATAAACACGTAGTAGGTTTAGAGGCATTAACAATTCTACAAGGCTG